GCGCCAACGGGGGGCTCCGCCGCCCGCCCGCCCGGCAGCCACCAACGCGATTCCTAGCGCCGCCGCTTTTCTTTTTATCTTTTTTTTTTTTTTTTCCCCCCCTCCCTTCTCTCTTCCTCAGCCCTTTTGCTCAGTCTTGGAAAAATTGTGTGATACTGCGGGGATTTGGGATATATATTTTTTCGGGGGGAGGGGGGGTATTTCTGGCTACTTTCCCCCCGCCGTCTTGCTCCACCTCCCCCTGCTTTTTTTTTTTTTTTTTTTTTTTTTTCTTCCCCGTCCTCGTCTCTCTTCTTTTCCCCATCTGCCTCGCCACCAAACCCGCGCTGATGTGCTGTGCGAGAGGCTGGAAATGGAAGTGTTGATGCTCTGGCTTTTCCCCTGGATATTTCAGTGCATTTCGGTGCGGGCGGACTCCATCATCCACATTGGTAAGAGAGGGAGCGGAGTAGCGGGGGGAGAAGAGGGAGGCGGTAGATAAATAAATGAGAGGATGTCTCGGTTATCCGCGGTAATGTCACAGCAGCGAGCGCGCCTCTCTGCGCGGGGGGGGGCAGGGAAAGGCAGCCCCATTCCCCTGTCTGCAAAGTTAGGGGCGGGGGGGGGGGGGGAGCTCGCCGAGGCGCGCGCTGCTCTCTCCTGTGGAGACCTGTTTGTGTGGAAGAGCTCCCCGTTTCCTACCTCCTCCCTGAGAGAAAAAAAAGAGAAAAAAATACAATCAGGAGAGAGGCATAATGTGAACGTGCTCGCAGGGAAAACTTTCAGGGAGATAATCCCCCGGTTTCCTTTCCCGCATAGCAGGTGTCAGCCGAGCCGGAATGCGGGGGAGAAGTTGGCTGGGGAAGGGTTGGAGAGGCGAGATTTGCAGCGGCTCCGTGTGTGTGTGTGTGTGTGTGCTTGCATGTGTGTGCGTGAGTGTGTGTGCATGTATGCGTGTGTGTACGCGTGCACAACTGTTGTTGTTTAAATGAGACCTCTTGCAAAGCCCTGGGCAGCAGGCAGGCTGGGTGAGCAGTGGGGAGAAGAGGCTGAGGAGCAGGAGGCAGAGCAAAGGCTGCTAAGAACTTTTATGGCTTGTTGGGGCAAAAGCGAGCGCTGGCCTTGCACCAGCAGGGCAGGCACGAGCGAGGCTCTGCAGTCACCTTTGAGCCGCTGGTGGAAGGTATCAGCAGGAAGGAAAATGAGGCTTTTCAGCGGTGGGGGAGAAGCACTTGCGGAGGATGATACAGGAGGAGATGGGAGCACGGTGGGTGATGAAAAGCAGTAATTCCAGCAGTTTGGGGGTGATGATGAGAGGAGCAGCGAACAGGAGAGGGAGCAGTGCTGGCAGGGATGGGCGAAAGGGCCTGCGTCACCCTGCTCCAGGGCCGGGGGACACGGGGACCAGCCCTGTCCCGAGCTTTCCAGTCGTGGGGATGTGAGGACGGCAGCTGAAGGAGAGTTGCCTTGGGCCAGAGCCGGGGCAGGCAGCAGTGCGGGGCCCTAAGGGAGATGGGGCAGTGCTGGCCGCAGCGCTGCCCTGGGGCGCCCCCGCTGCCGATGGACGGGGCTGTGGGCTGCTCCCCGCACAAACTTCAGCTCCTTGCCCCTGTGGAGGGCGCGGGCCGGGGACAGCGCGGAGGGGCTGTGAGCGGTGCGAATCCACGGCGCTAGTGTGGCCCGTGGGAAGGTGTGCGACGCTCCGCGGCGCGGGGGTACGGCTGGGCTGTGCTCGTGTGCCCCGCACCCGTTACGTAACGCGCAGCGCCAGCTGTTTGCATGTCCGCTGCACAGGCGGCAGGGCGAAGCGGGTGCTTCCAGGCTGCTGCAGGGCAGCGAAGTGGGGAGTCGCTGGCTGGACCAGACTGGTGCCGCAGGTGCGCGGGGCCCAGCGGGAGCGTCACCCTGTGCCGCCTTCCTCTCCTCTAGGTGCCATTTTCGAAGGCAATGCTGCCAAGGACGACGAGGTGTTCAAACAGGCCGTGTCGGATCTGAACCTCAATGACGACATCCTCCAGAGCGAGAAGATCACCTACTCCATCAAGCTCATAGAAGCCAACAACCCTTTCCATGCGGTGCAGGAAGGTGAGCAGCGCGGCCCGGCGCTCGGCTGGGAACTTTGTGTCTGTCGGCGGTGGGCGCTGTCCTACAAGGAAAGGGCAGGGACGCGGTGGTGGCGCCGGGAGGGGCAGCTGAGCCGGGCCTGGCAGTCCCTGCTGCGCTGCCGCTCGCGGGGCCAGGTGAGCTGCGCGGAGCCTGCGCGGGGCGCTGAGCGCCCCAGTCGCGGCAGGAGGTGGCCGCCTGTTTTGCAGGGGGACACGTTCAAACTGATCAGCATGCCTGTATAAAGAAGACTCCAAACAGATAGCATTTGTGATTAAATGAAGCCTGAGTTAATTTTGGTCCAGTATATTTCAGAAGCCACACGTTTCAGTAGTAATTATTTTAGAAACAGCTATTTATATACCCTCACAAGAATACTGTAAAAAATGATTCATCATCAGCCTTACCCTTGGTTTTACAGAGCACAGAGCGAGTCTTTCCCTTTGTGAAAATCTGCATTAATCCATATGCATTTGTAAGTTGCAAACATGCAAATTACAGTTACAAAATTGCACCAAGTGTTAATTTTCATTAGCTCTAAACAATTTATTTTGCTATCATTTTGTCTCAGCATAGGGTGCTAGTTAGTACCATGTGCGTTCCAGAGAAACAACCAAAATATCTTTTCAAGGGCTTAATCCCATTAATAATGGGATTCCATTAATAATGGGTTTTATCGTACTGCTCTGCAAGCTTAGCAAGGGGCAGCATGAAAAAAATATCTTTATGAAAATGGGAAGAAGGAAGCTTCACAACAAGACTCCCTCCCCACAGACACTGGAGCAAAATAAAAATCTCTAAATAACCGCAGGCTTGGTATATTGGCAAAGACTGACTCTGGGCAATTGGATATTCTTGCATTTGCAGAAGCTCAGTGTCCTCTATTGAAGCTTATTCATATTCATGGAAGTGACAGTAGTTGGCTGGCTGAACAAATGCTATCCACAGTGTCTCTTCTCAGAAGTAAAACTTTATAAAACTATTTTGAATGCACTGGAGTTTGAGCTGGCAGTCCTGTGCACAGAATCCTTTTGCTCAGTTTTGTAGAGGGGAGAAAGGCATGGCCAGATGGAAGATTCTTCGTGATCTAGCGGGATTTTGTTTTGTTCGCTAATGTGGAAGGTTAATATTCCATTTAATAAAGACTACTCTCAAAATAAAAATTCTAGCACTTGAAAATCATGGTGAAACCTTGGGAAGCATTCTTGTATTTTTTTAATCTGTGCGTTACAGAACACTTGCGCTACTTAAATATATGTAAGTGAGGATGTTGCCTGATACACCTTCCAAGATGTCATTTTAGTGCTTATTACTGCTACATTTGGAATTGTTGTTGGAGGATCTGTTAGCATGCTGGAGAATTAAGTGATTGATGAATGTTCACAATTCCAAAGAGAAGTTGTCCCCTGTCATTGCTTCATTAAGGTATAGCAAGTGGGAAGACTGCAAAATGATCATATCTGTGAGTCAAAACCTTGCCCTGGTAGGAGAGCTAAGAGTGTCAGCCTTTACTCAATTTCCTGCTTGCTTTGTTGGTTCAGGTCAGGCCTTTTTTATTTAAGATTTAATTTCCCTTTTTTCAAACTGTTACACAACATGCTGACAGGATGATACATGGGGCACACAAGTAGATGGCTGTTCTTACCGTGCTGAGTCTTTCTGCCCAGTGTTACTTGGTGTCATTCTGACTATTCACAATCTCATTGAATTCTATTGCACAGATGCCCTGCTCAATTCAGGAGAATGCAGTGTATAGTAGTCAAAATGACCTGGAGCAAATCTGCTGCCCAAACTGCTCACAGAATGTTGCTGCAGCTACATAAAATGCCCTGACATCCACATTATTCCTCTGCAGTGTTTCTTTAAACAGTGCCATGGAAATCAATGTTGCAAGCATTAGTTTTGTAGCAATGGAAACTTTTTATAGTTAAAAAACATAATTTTGAATAAAAATAGACCATTGTGATGCTACTGCCAGAATAGCTCAAGTAATTGGAGAAAACGAAAATACTGTTTTTATGTGAACCATCTTTTGCAGTTTTATGAATTGACATTGTGAATTGTCCCTTAAATTCTTTGAAATGAATCCTCCAAGCATAGACCTTTGTTTCAGTGGTGCTTTGCTGAAGCATTACGGGAAGTTGTTCTTGTGTGTAGCGAGGTGTTTTACACAGCAACAAGACGTTAATTACTGATGGTGGTAGTTTTCAGTATGTGTTTGGCCTGATATTTATGGTGTGGTTGTGTAGCTGCTGCAAAAGTAGGAAGCAGTAGAAAAAATAGCAACTTGTAGTGTTTGTTTTGTTTTTCTTCAACAGGATCAATGCAGAACTGAGAGCAAATACCTAGCCTAATTTTCAATATGGGAAGATGCACAGAAGTGTTTTTTACATGCTGGAAAAGCTTTAGAGACTTTGCTTTAGAGAGATTCATTGTGGTGATAGGTTCTGGTGACCATAATAGGTAAAGAAAATTCAAAGGTTCTTTTCCAAAGTTTTGGTGGATACTCGTGTTAATGGTTTTGCAGCCTGTCAAAGAGTAGTATTTAACAAGTAAAGCTATGAGTGTTTTGTCTTTTATTTTACTGTATGTTGCAGAAACAAGATTCTGTTGTGCTGATAACTAAAGAAGCTGTCTGGGCCCTGTTAGCCTGAAGCTTTACAGCTAGGTGCAGCTGTAAAGGAAGGAGACAATTCCAACAGCAAAGGATGTGACAATGAAGAATAAACACATCATGGTATATGCATTAAATGGGGCTTTGTAGTCTATTCTGTGATCATGAACATTTGTGCTTTGTAGAATACCACTTTTGTGCGGGTGAAGGAAAAATCTGGTAGAATCTAGGGAAAAAAAATCTAGAAAAATCACCAGAAGGAAAAATCATTTTTTTCACTGACTATAATGAGAGAAAATATATATACGAAGGGATTGTTCTTCCTTTTATAAGTTTTAAGGAAATCAGCTGAGGTCATGAACATGATGTTAAATTATATCTTTTCTTCCAAAGTAGCTACATGTTCAATTTCTGTGAAGTGACTGAGATGTGAAATAAAGCGTGCTTGTCTATGTGGAGTGTAGGTTTAACCTGGTAATGTGGTAGTCCTTTTTGTGATGAGAATTCAAAGAAGATAAAAGATAGGAGAAATGCTTTAAAGTTTTCAGTTTGAATTGGGATTTTTGAGCTTGCCATTGAGGTTAAGAAGTAACTTTGTGTATGACATGCATGGAAAACACTTGGCTTGAAAATACAACTGTACTTTTTTTTCTTAAGGCAAATCTTATGTGTTAATTTCTAACGTCTTGATTTTGGAGAGAGAGTAGTCAATGTAAGTCAAATACCTATAACCAGAAGTGGAATGTAGAGAAGCTAAAGCTGAGGCTTCATTTTCATAATAGTCTTCATAGAAGGGGGTCAGTAGAGGCAGTTATTTGGAAGCTGCGAAACTTGAAACCTTGTTTCTCAGTGCATGATACTCACACAGCTGTGCAACTTTGCTGGAGCTGAAACTTGCTGCTCTCTCTGCATAGCACTTTCAGATGAATTGTTTCTAATTCGAGCAGCCTTGTTTGCTTGTTGACCTTAAAAGTCATTCAGGTCTGGAAACCAGAGTCAGTTTGGGAAATCAGAATGTGATTCCAGAGCAAGAAAATGAAGAAAGTGTATTTTTTCTTTCTTTCTTTTTTTTTTTTTATCAATCCCATGTGTGCTGCTGTCATATCAGTGAAACTGAGAGCCGCTCATCTTTCCCATGTCTGTGTTGTATACTGCTGAGTGAATTGTTTCCTTATCCCTCATGTGTAGGACTTGTGGCAGTTAGATACTTGGGATAACTCTGAGCCGTGTCTCCTCAGCACATTCACTTCTTGGTACTCCCAGTGTTGTTCCCAAGCAGTTTCATTTTTTGAGGAGGTAAAAACAACCAGTGTGTTGCTATTCACAAAACTGGAGAACAGCCTCTTTTGTTGTTCCCAAATATATTTGCCTGGTTAAAATTCCCAGTGCATGTTCACGTATGTAAGGCAGCTGCTTGTACGTTGTCCAGTGGCATTGGTGTCTGGGTATGGAGCTCTTCTACAGCTTGGGGCTCTATGTCAAGGTAGTACCAATGTCCCTGGCTAGAAGCCCACAGGTGGGTCAAAAGCTGTACTTTGAGCCAGTTACCGACTTCAGACTGTAGGACTGTTTCCACTGTCAGGAGGATTTAATCTAGAATGACTGTTAAATGTGGAGGAGGAAGATCCAGCAACAGCCATGGGAAGATGCCCTCAAACATGACGATAACGCTCCCGTTGCCCTTGTGTAAGCTTGGATCCAGCACCTTAGATGCTTGTGTCAAGGATACAGTGTCTTTTGGGGAACTTCTGGACAGCTGAACGCTGAGCTCTCCAGGAAGAACATACTCTTACATACGTTATTTCTAGTTTTAGTCTGGGCTTTGAACACTTTCTAGAAACCAGCCAGAAAGAGTGTATGTGGGGATCCCTCCCATGGTCAGAGAGGCCTTGCTGTGTAACTGCACATTTCTCCTACTAGTCTGCTGCAGTTAAAAGCTGTTGCTCAGCAGGGTCAATGTGCTTAACAGTTTTACCTCCTTGTGCCCTCTGAGACCAAACCAAGACTTGCTCAGGATTGCCGCAGTGAAGACATCTGCGACACTGTCGTTTCGTTGTGCTTGTGTTGCTACGCTCTCTAGTTGCATGGCCCGGTATATTATAAACCAGATTGCCTCACAGAGCTAAAAAAAATTGGCAAATTAAAATAACTGTCTCTATTCCAATTCTTGTGTATTTGTTATGGTAAAAGTAGGGACCTGCAGATATCTTCAGCAAGAAAGAAGTAAGTCAGTATTCCATAAAGAAGCCCCTTTGTTGCTGAGGATGAGCACAAGTTACTGTGGGCAAACATCCAAATTCATGTTTGTTTTGTTGTTTTGTTTCTGCTTGTAATTTGTTATTTTGTGGCCACAATTATTCAGGCTTTG